CCCCGTGGCTCCGAAGATTCCTGCCTTTGCTTGCTTGACCCAGGCCGAAATTCTAACACCTTTTTTCCGAGGCGATAAATAATTCCGTTCTTCGCCTGAGGCGGATTGCAGGATGCTAGGATGGAAGCTGTTCTTTCTGCCTGTTTTATGATTACATATTAAGAAATTTTATAGCCCAATTTGTTTCTTCTGGTTGGGAGAAAAAATTTCTCTCAGCTTACTTCACTCAAATAACTTGATTTCCCACCCACCCCCCCCCCCCCCCTCTTTTCTCCTTTTTCCTTCTTCCCGGCTATCAATTATACCGACTGCCTTTCAGTCTTTCTTTCCATAAATCGAAAGAGCCCAGAGACTGAAGCTGGTCCCTGCTATATAATTTAGTAGTATTTGAGGCAGGTTTATGAGATGGAAGTCGGATAAAACACGGGATCTGAAGGGCCAGCCATTTATCACTTCTAAGAAACAGGCTTACGGGTTGATATCCTGACAGTAATTCTGGTGTTTGTTTGTTTTTTTAATTTTATTTTATTTTTGATCAACCAGAGAGGCCAAAACTGCCCACCCCAAGGCAGAATAAGAAGGAAGCCTTTTCACCAATAACATTGTTTGGACCTGCATGTAAATTTATTTTAATCTAAATTTCAGCAACCCGGGGCTGCTCTAAAAAATGAGCAAGAGGCAGAGTTGCAATTGGTTTGATATACACCCACCTGCTTCTGGTCCTGGATTGATTTCTTAGCCCTAATTCTATTTCAGGAGGGGTTTCCCCCCCCCCCCCCCGACTCTTGGTGTTAGAAACAGGTTGAGTGTTTTGTAACCTGTGTCAGAAGTAAGTGATTTACAGCCCTGGCTTCTAAGCAGTAAGCTAGGTGTGATTTTTACAAATGGTTCTTTTCTCAACTCCTTTTCACGGAAGGGTTGCGCTGGAAGGCCAGGTCTGACCTTCCAAGAAACACGTGTAGGTGTTGTCGTCTACCCGACGTTCAAAAGAGACAACCGAATAACCAAAAAGGGAACGAGGAGACCAGAAGGCCTCCTCGCCAGGTGAGCTGAGATTAATGCAAGACGGGCAATCAAGAAGGAAACAATATCCAAACCAAGGAAGTACTAAATCAAGCAACGGTACACAACGGCCCAAAAGAAATAAAGGAACTACCAAGAAGACTCATCATCAACATCGTCCCAAATCCCACCTCCTTCTAACACTGATGGTGTTACCTAGTTGGGTGGAGAAATGTCTGCCAGAGAACAACCGAGCTCAGAGAGCGCCAAAGGATCCCACGCTCCTCCTCCCCTGTCTCCTCCTCCAAACCCAGCTCCCTTCTGGCACTGATGACGTTCCCTAGTTGGGTGGAGAAAAACCATCCAGCTCAGAAACCACTCTTCTGAGGTGAAGGGAAGGTGGGCCAGCTGCCCAGTTGGTAAGAGTTGAGGCTGCTAATCCTCCAGGTGAGGAAGAAGAGAGCGGTTACCTGTTTGGATAAATCCCAGCGCCTGGCATACGTTTGGCTTGGTCTTCATCTTTTGGGAAACCATGCAGGACCCAGCCTCGAATGTAGCAATCCACTCTGTTGATCCGTCTGGACAGGAGTTTGATGACCACCTTGTCTGGCACTAGAGGAAGGAAAAGAAAAGATTGGGAGGAGGAGGAGGAGGCCGGCCGTCGATCGAGAACATGAACCGAAGCAGCGAACAGCATCAACGAAACAGTCTTTGGTCCTAATGTTAACATCTTTGCATCCCACACAAATGTGCTGATTTGGGGTGAAAAGACCTCCTCCTTCGGGAGGCAATTGACATGGGCAGACGGGTTGATCCCAAGTCAGAGAGATAACAGGGAGCCTTCAAGACCGACGACAGGCCACGATAGCCTTCCAGGGCTGACTGAATCCCCTTGGAAAGGGAAGGCAGGAAACGCCACGGATTCTCTCTCCTAAGGAGGTCATCTAGCTGGACCAAGAACCTAGGCATAGAACGCAGAGTAACAGAGTTGGAAAGGGTCCCTAGAGGCCTTCTAGTCCAACTCATGCAAGAGGCCCTATGCCGTTTTGGACAAAGGGTGGTCCGGTCTGTTTTTGAAAACCTCCCACTGATGGAGCCCACACAATTTCTTGAGAGAAGCTGGTTCCCTTGATTGGTCTCACTGCCAAGAAATTTCTCTGTCACGCCCCTGTCGGGGTCTGAATCCGAGGAGGACGATGAACAGCTGACACAGGGAATGGGAGTGTGGCTCCGTCGGCTGTGGAGGGAACTGGGGAAGGGCAAAGTCCGGCTGGGCAGAGCAGGAGAGAGGTAGAACAAGGGAGAGGGGGCTCAGAGGAAGACCCAAGCCCACCTCCTCTTCATCTTAGGGCACGCAGGGAGGAACGGAGAAGAGAGCAACGTTGGTTGCATGGCTTACGGGGGAGGAAAGGGCCCTGATTCCCTTCATTAGCCACAGCTGGGAAGAGAGTTTAAAAGAGATGCAAGCTGAGTGCGGCATCTGCTGGGAGCAAACATGAGTTTATCTTGTGTTCACTTTGCTTATCTGCATTCCTGGCATCCTCCCAACCGTGTTGAATTACTGCCCTTCCTTCACGTCTGGAATTCCTTCTCTTGTCCTGCCAGACTAATTACCTCATTTTGCCTTGATTGGACTTGATAGTTACAGTTTCTGTTGACCACGTTTTGGACTTGATTCTCTGCAGCCAAAGGCTGTGAGAGTTTTTCTCCAGCCCAGAAAGTAACCAGGACATTTGGGGGCAAAATCGGAGCTATTAAAGAGACTCCTACTACTGATTATCTGACTGTGTTGCCTTTGTGCCACGCCCCTTTGGGTCATCACATTCTCCTTGATTCTAGGTTGGATCTCTCTTTAATGATCTTCCACCCATTACTCGTTGTCCAGAAAGACCCTCTCTGTGATGGAGCCTCATCCCTGCAGATATAAGACTGGCCTCCACCAGGATGCTCCTTCGAAAGTCCCCGAAGACGTGGTTTTGCCAAGGTGACCCCAGAGTCCAAGGGAGGCCAACAAGTGGCCTGTCTGATTGTTGTCACCCAGGGGGGTGGTTTTTATACTGGGCTTTTGTACTTGGCCATATAAATTTCCTTAATAAATAAGTGCAGAGAACAACAGTGAAGGTGATTAGGAGACTGGAGGCGAAAGTGTTTGATAAATGATGGAACAAGGCACCTTAGTTTAACCAAGAGAAGGATTGGGGTGACATGACAGCAGCCTCCCACTATCTCAGGGGCTGCCCCAAAGAAGAGGGGTGTGAATGGATCCTCCAAAGCCCCTGAGAGGCAGGACAAGAAGCAGTGGGTAGAAACTAATCAAGGAGAGAAGCAACCTAAAACTAAGGAGGGACTTCCTGACAGTGAGAACAATTAGCCAGTGGAACAGTTTGCCTCCAGAAGTTGTGCATGGAGGTTTTCAAGAAGAGGTTGGGCAACCGTTTGTCTGACATGGTTTAAGGTCTTCTGCTCAAGCAGTGGGCTGGATTGGAAGACCTCTAAGGTCCCTTCCAACTCTGTTCTTCTGGAAATAAATAAAATGCAAGCTTCCTTTGAAGGGAACAAACAACACGCCTCGCAACCGGCCACGCTGGAGCTGTAACCTCTCCGGTGGGCTGCCTAAACCAGGCAGAAAACTGCCCGCCTTCCATTTTCGCTGTTAACAACAACAAACAGGCAAGGCGCACTCAACGGCTGTGATGAGGTTGTTAGCCACGCCGGCTGGCCAACGCCGTCTGTTGCCACGAGGGTAAACGAAACAGCTTCTCCTGCACCGCTTGGCCGCAAGCAGATGAGAAGCTGAGCTCAGAAAGGTCTGATGAAGTTGTCAGCTGCCAAGACTTTCAAGGGATCAGGACGGACCCAAATTTCAAGCCATCGGGTTTCTCTTTTTAATCCTAACGGGGGAGGCAGTGGGGAAGCTTTAGCCTCTGTCTCAAGGTAGGTTTTTGCAACTCTTCTGCTGTTGGCCCTTGCCTGTGAGATGATCCTAAGGACTAGAAACCCGGCCTTAAAAGAATGAAAAATTAAGGAAAACTGAAAGTGGACTAGCTAGCTGGGTCTGTTCAGTTGCGTGCCTCTCCTATCCATGCCTCCCCTTCCATGTGCCTCGGTGTGCCATCAAAGGGGGGGCCAGCGTTGCCAAAATCACATCGACAACACCCCCGAATCTCAAACTGCTTTCCGGGTTCTCAAACGGCATCTTAGCTCTCGGCGCTCTTCCGAAAGGTCTCGCGCTCTGAAGGCTGAAAAGGTGGATCCGTAACGAACTTCAAAATCGTGCCGATGCCGCGAGCCGAAAGCGCAGATCTATAATGAGAACCAGAACAAAAACACCACCCCGATGCTCCCTTCGCTCCAGTCCGATTTGAAGCTTTTTGTTCAATATCTTTGCTCTCTATAAAGATGGAGGAGCTTTTGACATGTATTGACCTGCCTTGTAAACTTATCAAATCCTTGATATTCATGAGTCGTGAGATGGGCTGCTTGGGACAAGGCTGGGAGGAGCTGTCTGTTCCTTACTTCTGAAAGTTGGAGGGTTCTTTGATACCCTGGCCCACTTAGTTTTCTTCCTTCTCTTAGATACGTTTCCCCCCCCCCCACTCCTTCCCCCAGTAGGTCTAAAGCCTTCCATCATTAATTCAGATGCCTGAGGGTTGAACTCAGGGTTTGACAGTTAACATCTTGCCCTAATTACCAGCCTACTGCCAAGGGCTACTTCTTAATGCCTTGACTTGTCATCTCTAAATTCAGCAAAGCGCAGGAGCAGAATACCTGCTTATTCCACAAAGGTCAGGTTCATTTAATGTTATTGGAATCCTCCAGGGAGGAAAAAAACAAAACACCCTTCTTCCTGCTGACCACAAAGTTTGGAAGAGTTCTTTCTTTCACGAAACGCGTTGGGAGATAGACTAAGGCCTCTTGCTTATGGAAGGTTTCTTCCTAAAAATGAGGCGGGACTTATGGGTATTGTAACTTCGGTAGGTCTGGATGAAACCAACCTGGGTGAAAGTGGAAGGCAGGAATCCATCCAGTAGCGGAAATGAGCAAAAAGTTAAACTGGAGCAACATCTCCCATTGAAGGGGCTCTCCAAGGTGCTGAACTGCTTCCATTCATTGTTTGTTGCGCATTTCTTCAGATCTTGCCTAGCATCCTGGTGGTTATTAAGAAATCCCCAATAGCCATCCATAACAAAATCGTGTGCAGCTCCATCTTATCCATGTTTTTTCCTTTGTTTTGTGTTTTGTTCTGTTCTGATTTGTTTTGCCTTGATCCGGTTCAATTTTGTTCCTGCTTCGGTTTGTTCTCTCTGATTTGTTTTTGTTTTCCTTAACCATGCTTTGGGGATCTGTCCCCAGATTCACACATAACCCTCTGCCCAAACCAAACAATTCCAGGCATTGGAAATGTCCGGGAAATGTCTCTTAAGCATGCCAGCTTTAAACATTGAAGGGAAGAAGGGGGTGGAAAAAAAAAATAAGACCCAGGACTAATTTTCATTGTAATACTTTCAGGATAGATCTGTCCTGAGGCCAATGGGTCATCTTTAGAAGAGGTAATAAAATGGCCTCTTTACAACCACCACCAAGTCATAATTTCAAACTGGCGAGGCGACGAGAGGCCACGATCTTGGCATTCACAGCCTCCTTCTGTTTTGAGAGATAATTTGGGTGGAAACATTGAGGAGCTGCTCAGAACCTCTTCCCACCTGTGACGGTCTCAAGGGAACGGCCTTTTCCGATCCTTCCACGGAGATAAGCCTTCTTGGGGAGCTTCCTCCCACCCTCAACGGAAAGGTTGAGTTTGCCCCAAGCCTACCTACAAGAGTCACATTCCTTTGTGCTTTTTCCAAACGGATATTCTTTTTTTCCTCTCCTGCAATTTTTCTTTTCCTTTTGATCTCTCCATGGGAGTCTTTCTCTTCATTTCTTGCTTTCCTTGAGCCGAGGCTTCTGGAAGATGCCAGCTTTGAAGAGCGCTTGTGAAACCTCCCCTCGTCTGGAAGACCGCTTGACAGGGGCTGCATGCAAATGGCGGTCTCCGTTGGAAACCGAAGTTCAGAAACCTCTCAAACTGCGGTCAACATAATAACAAGCACAGGAGATATCTAAGGCCATCGTTATTTTCTTAACGCCGCTGCTGTTTTTCCAGGCTTTTGAATCCAGCCAACTGCGGCTCTGCTTAGCGCATTGCCTGTGATAAACACCACATCAGCAATGAAGGGAGAACTGGCTCGGCGGAGCAGCTTTTATCGATTATCTAGTGCCACCTACTGGCAGTACAAGCTTCCTACAAGAGAAGGCGAAAGGTGGAAGGTAGAATTATAGAATAGAGTAGAGTAGAATAGAATATGGAATAGAATAAAATAGAATAGAATAGAGAACAGAACAGAACAGAACAGAATAGAATTAGAATAGAATTAGAATAGAATAAGGAATGGAATGGAATGGAATGGAATAAGAGTAAGAATTAGAATAGAATAGAATAGGGAATAGAATAGGAATAGTAATAGGTATA